AAAAAAAAAAAAAAAAAATATATATATATATATATACACACACACACTATATATATATATATACACACACACTATATATATATATATGCTATATACACTTTGTGCTATATATACTTTGTGATATATATATTTGGATATATATATGATATATATATATCACATATATATATATACTTTGTGATATATATATATATATCACAAAGTATATATAGCACAAAGTGTATATATATAGCACAGAGATTAAAGATGTTATTTGGCATTATCTCTCAAGACAGAAAATGTGTTTACTCAGTAGTTACCATGTCATGACAGCATTGTTTGGGTAGTGGAAATTGAAAATCATCAGTATGTCCATTACTAGAGGACTGGTTATATTAACAATGTTATATTTCTATAATGATATTTTTAAAATCCATGATCTTTGATGAAAAAAGCACAGCATAGACCAATTACAACATGTTAAAAAAAGGTAGCATAGTGATTAAGAGTGTGTCTGGTTTTGCATCTGCTCCAAAAAAAAAAAAATAATAATAATAATAAAAACAAGAGTGTGTCTTCTGGAGCCAGGATGCTTGCGTTTGAATCCCAGCTCCACACATATTGTTTTTGTGATTAACTTTCTTTGCCACAGCTTTCTTATTTATAAAATGGAGATAATGGAACATATTTAGTAGAGCTTTTTTTTTGTTTGTTTTTGTTTTTTAAGATGGAGTCTCCCTCTGTCGCGAAGGCTGGAGTGCAGTGGAGAGATCTGGGCTCACTGCAACCTTTGCCTCCTGGGTTCAAGCAGTTCTCCTGCCTTAGCCTCCAGAGTAGCTGGGATTACAAGGCATGAGCCACCACACTTGGCTAATTTTTTTTGTATTTTTAGTAGAGATGGGGTTTCTCCATGTTGGTCAGGCTGATCTAGAACTCCCAACCTCGGGTAACCCGCCTGCCTCAGCCTCCCAAAGTGCTGGGATTACAGGCGTGAGCCACTGCACCTGGCCTTTAGTAGAGTTTTTAGGATTAAATTAGTTAATTTTATAAAATACTTAGAATTGTAGTGGAACAGATTAAATTCTGTATATGTGTTCAGAAAACATATTCATTCATTTGTTCCACAATTATTCATTGAATGCTCTTGCACTAGACACTGATTTAGGGTCATGGAATAAATACATCGAACAAGTCCAATGCCTCATGGAACTAACATTCTTTTTTTTTTTTGCAACAAAATCTTGCACTGTTACCCGGGCTACAGTGTGATGGCCTGATCTCAGCTCACTGCAACCTCCACCTCCCGAGTTCAAGCAATTCTCCTGCCTCAGCCTCCTGAATAGCTGGAATTACAGGTGCCCACCACCATGCCTGGCTAATTTTTTTTTTTTTTTTTTTGAGACAGAGTCTCACTCTGTCGCCCAGGCTGGGGTGCAGTGGTGCGATCTTGGCTCACTGCAACCTCCGCCTCCCGGGTTCAAGCAACTCTCCTGCTTCAGCCTCTCAAGAAGTTGGAATAACAAGTACACACCACTACACTTGGCTAATTTTTGTATTTTTAGTAGAGGCATGGTTTCACCCTGTTAGGTAGGCTGGTCTTGAGCCGTTGACCTCAAGCCATCCATCTGACTCGGCCTCCTAAAGTGCTGAGATTACAGATGTGAGCCACCATGCCTGGCCGCCTGGCTAATTTTTTGTATTTTTTAGTAGAGATAGGGTTTCACTATGTTGGCCAGGTGGGTCTAGAACTCCTGACCTCGTGATCCGCCCTCCTCGTCTTCCCAAAGTGCTGGGATTACAGGCGTGAGCCACCAGGCCCGGCCCATGGAGCTAACATTCTAAGAGAAACATTCAGTAAACAAGTAAAGAAATGTATGATCTAATTCAGGGAGTAGTTTGTGCTCTGAAGAAAAGCAAAACAGGTTAAAAAGACAGCTATGTGGTGGAAGTGGGACTATTTCATACAGGGCAGTGATTGTAAACCTCTGATGAGATAACATTTGACAAGAGATCTACAGGGAGCCACGTGTCATGGGGAAAGGCATTGGAGGGTTTTGTGGAGAAGAGTGATGTGTGATCAGGTTTACTTTAAAAGAATAATAATCTGGGCTGGGCATGGTGGCTCCTGTCTGTAATCCCCGGACTTTGGGAGGGCAAAGTGGGCAAATCACATGAGTCCAGGAGTTTGAGACCAGCTTGGTCCACCTGGTGAAATCCCATCTCTACAAAAAATACAAAAATTAGCTGGTGTGGTGATGTGCACCTGCAGTCCCAGCTACTTGGGAGGCTGAGGTAGAATTGCTTGAATCCAGGAGATGGAGGTTGCAGTGAGCTAAGATTGCACCTCTGCACTCCAGCCTGGTGGACAGAGCAAGACCCTGTGGAAAAAAAAAAAAAAAGAAAGAAAGAAAGAAAAGAAAAAAAATAATTTGGCTTTTTTTTGTTTTTGTTTTTGTTTTTGAGACAGAGTCTTGCTCTGTTGCCTGGCTGGAGTGCAGTGGCACAATCTTCGCTCACTGCAACCTCTGTTACCTGGGTTCAAGCAATTCTCCTGCCTCAGCCTCCTGAGTAGCTGGGACTACAGGTGCATGCTACCACTCCAGGCTAATTTTTTTGTATTTAGTAGAGACGGGGTTTCACTATGTTGGCCAGGATGGTCTCAATCTCCTAACCTCGTGATCCTCCTGTCTCAGCCTCCCAAAATGCTGGGATTACAGGCATGAGCTACCTCGCCCCGCCAGAATCTGCCTGTTATGTGGAGGACTGGGATAGAGAAGGGCAAGAGCAAGATAGAGGAATGGTCTAGAGAAAACAGTTAGGGAGGTTTTGCAATTATCCAGCAAGAGATCTTGGAGCAGGATGGCAGCAGTGGAGGTGGTAAAATGTGGTTGGATGAAGCATATGCTTTGAAGGTGGGAGTCAGTAGGACCAGGTGATGGCTATAAACTGGGGGGTCTCTAGCTATCAGATGGCATTTACTTAAAGCCATGAAGCTAGGTTAGCTCCCTTATGGAGAGGGAATAGGAAGGAGGTAGACTATTCTATCAAAATACTCTTTCCACAGGGCACTTCTCACAGATATTATTCATCCGGGATTTATGTTATTTATTAAATTTGTTTTGTGTTTGGTTCCATTAGAAAAGCTCCATAGGGGCTGGGCAATCTGGCTCATGCCTGTAATCCCAACACTTTAGGAGGCCCTGGCGAGGTCAGGAGTTTGAGACCAGCCTGGCCAACATGGTGACCCGTCCCTACTAAAAATACAAAAAATTAGCCAGGCATAATGGCATGCACCTATAATCCCAGCTACCGGGGAGGCTGAGGCAGGAGAATCGCTTGAACCCAGGAGGCGGAAGTTGCAATGAGCCGAGATTGCACCATTGCACTCCAGACTCAGTGACAAGAGCGAAACTCGGCCAGGCGCGGCGTCTCACACGTAATTCTAGTACTTTGGGAGGCCGAGGTGGGTGGATCACCTGAGGTCAGGAGTTCAAGACCAGCCTGGCCATAATGGAGAAACCTCATCTTTAAAAAAAAAAAAGAGCGAAACTCTGTCCCTGCCCCCCAAAAGAAAAGAAAAGCTTCATAAGGGAAGGAACCTTGTATCTTCACCACATAAACAGTTTGGATTCGCAGTTGAATTGGGGAAAAAAATCAGTCTGAAAGAGCCTCACTAAATCCCTAGCAGCTAGATATACCATCCCTGAAACTCTAGCCACATAAGGCTTAAGTAACGACTGGAAAATGCTTTCCACTATTTTTATATCTCTTACATCTGCAACAAAGTATGAAAAAAAATTAACTGGGCATGGTGGCACACACAGAAGCCAATAAACACGAAGTGCAGTTCAAAATCATGTGGCTTACAGA